AATATGTGACCTCACATGGCAAGAGGGACTTTGCAGATGTGATTCAATTAAGGGTCTGGAGATGGGGAGATGCTCCTAGACTATCCCGTGGGTCCAATGTCATCACAAGGGTCCTTGTAAGTGAAAGAGCAGACAGGAAGGTCTGTGTCAGAGAAGGCAACATGTGGATAGAAGTGGAGTGATGTGACCGTTGAAAGTGGCAATGAGTAGAGGAATGCGGGCACCTCCAGAGCCTGCAGAAGGAACACAGCCCTTGATTTTAGCCCACTGAGACCCATTTGGAACTTCTGACGTCCAGGACTATGAGACAATAAATTGGTTTTGCTTTAAACCACTAAATTTGCAGTAATTTGTTACAATTTAAAAGCAATAGGAAATGAATGCACCCCCTCCACACCTCACCCCTACCCCTGCCTGTTTTCAGGGAATAGGCCTTTTTAGCTTAAATAGGGATATAAATGGGCTTGGTGAGACGTCTTGATAATGCTCTGAAGCTGTCTGGTGGTAACTTTCCAGGGACGTGAACCATCACTCTGCAATTCTATCACAACCTCTAATGCCATAGTAATGAACTGTGTGTTCGGCTGATGAATAAAACAGTTCTTTCATCTGGGTGGACTCCAATGCACAAGGTAAAAGGAAAGGATATATTCACCCCTTCCTGTCAAAGAGAATAGAAGTAGGAGGGAAACCCCACAAAGCTGGAGGTAATTGGGGTCACAGGAAAGCCCTGAGGGCTTCTAGAGATGGAAGGAATCTATTCATTCAATTGGTCTAGTTGAGACTAGCCGGCCCAAGGCCACACAGAGGGTAAATGACAGCTCTGAGATTCCAACCCAGGCGTCTTCATGTTGAACCTACTTCCCTGCTATAAGCCAGTGGCTATCAAACTTTCTGTTCTCCAGGTGCCTTTCTACTCTTAAATTAATGAGGATCTCACAGAGGTTGTTTATGAGGGTTTTATCAACCAATAACTACTGACCAGAAATTAAAATTAGGAAGAGGTTAAACTACGTATTAATTCATTTAAAAATAGCAATAATAAACCATTACATATTGACAGAAAAAACTGTATTTTATGAAAAATAACTGTTTTCTAAGAAAAATGAAATAGTAAGAAGAGTGGCATTGTTTTGCATTTTGGCAAATCTCTTTAATAATAGAAGAGAGCAGGATCTCTTATCTGCTATGCCTTCAGTCTACTGCAGTACGTTGTTTTGGTCGAAGTACCTGAAGAAAATTCAGCCTTACACAGATAGTTGGAAAAGTATTTTAACAGTCTTATGGATAATTTTGGAAAATCTTTGATACTATACCAGAACTCATCAAGTAGCAGTTTCTTAAAGGTTAGTTGCAATGTAGAATCTGAAACCATATAAAGAACATATTGTTACATTAAAAAGTCCACTGGGGGCCGGCCGAGTGGCGCATTGGTTAAGAGCTGGCTTGGGACGCCAGAGGGCCCCGGTTCAGATCCCACATATGAGGGTCAGTGACACTGCCCTCTACAGCTAAGATGCGGAACAACAGCTCAACCTGGAGCTGGGCTGCCCTGAGTCGCCTGCGTTGGCGTAGGCTGCAGCCCCTGCTGCAGTGGGTTGCCATGGGCTACCGTGTGTAGCCAGCAGCCGCAATGAGCGGCCATCCAGAAGCCGGCTACTGATCTGCCTCTCCCGGGAAGAGCGCCTTGATGGTGCCAACTTGGGCCAGTGAAGCAACATCCTCCACAGCTAGATTGAAGAACAAAAGGACAGCAACTTGTCTGTTCCCCTTTCCCCAATTCCCCAGCACTGTTGCCATCCCCCAATTCCCCAATAAAAATCTTTTAAAAAAAAAAAGTCCACTGGGCTCTCTTGTACATTTGATGGATCTTTTAGCCATGCAAGACTTTGTAACATTGCATTGGTCACTTAGATTTACTGGTTCACATGATTATGCAGATCCTCTTAAGTGGTGACATGTTTTGTAACACAATATTTTAAAATCACATTCATTTGTATCCCCACTGATCTTGTTAGAAAAGTTTTTAAACATTGGCAAGTTTTCAAGCTTATGATATTGGAGATGACATGGCAAAATCCGAATTTTCACTTGAAAGCTAAAATTTTACTACTGGCAAGACATACTAGCAGTGATGTCACTAGAAGTGGCAGGTCCCCTTTGTTCGTTTTTAAGGTCGTCTGCTAAATACCCAAGTCAGAATAACTACTTTGTCTGTAGGCATTCTTTCTGGTAAATATGGTGTTCTTGAGAAAAAGCAGCTAGTGCAACTCAGAACTCAAACTATCACACAAGGGCTATTACTCAGGACTACCACTGAACTTGAGGAGTCAGCAGCAGTGCTTTGTGTGTCTTTCCCATTTCTTCACACAGAATATTAAAAAGACATGCATTCAATGGCAGAGATTTGGTAAAATTCACCATTTTTACTGTTACACCATGGACATTGTTAATTGAAACTGGCACATCTTTTCTTAACTTCAAAGGCTGAAAAAAATGCAATGACTACAAGTTCATTATGGTGCCAATGCCTTGATTCATGCTAAAGCACCAGCAGTTTTACCCACTAAGCTTTTGCACCTTTGCCGCAAATGTCAACACAGCGAAAAAAGCAGATGGTATCATAGTATTGCTTTAAAAGTAGTCTGACTTTGCAGATTCCCTAAAAGGGTCTTTAAGCTTTACAGAAAAAAATTAAATCACCTATAACTACCTTAAGTTAATGGCTATAAATGTATATGAGTATGTGTGTCCCCATATCTTTTTAGAAAACTGTCTCCTATCAGACAGGCAGGCGCCATCACATATAATTTTAATGGTTGCAGAGTAGTTTATTGTAGGGATGGAGGGGGGAGGGCATCATTCACTTATTTTGTTTTATGTTTTAATTGACCACCAAGCGGAAGGGTTTCTTTGGATCTTCAGCATACCCTGAAAATCACCTCTATTTTCAGGAAAGTCCCTCTGAGCTGCGGTGGGCTGCCACTATTAATGTGGCTCCAGGTGATTTCATTACAGGGATTCTGGCCCCAAAGGTTTGGGGAGCAGGGCAGGGCAGGGCCTGATTCATGCAGCTTGCTGGATGCATGCATTAATTCAGCCAGAGACGCAGCACTGTGTCCATGGCCTTGCCGTCAGAGCCAGAACACAGGTCTGGAACAGCGAGGGTAGCTATGCACCGAAAGACAGACAGGAAGCCTTGCGGAGACGCAGATGAAATAAGTTATGTGCCCCATGACTTCTTTCACAGCACGGGGAGCTATCCACAGGTGGCATCTGTTTCTTCCTTCTATTATTACATCTACATGCAGTAGATATTCATTTCAAAATGTGCTTGTCCCCTTTGTCCATTGCTAGTCTGGCCATCATTTTACTGCAGATCCCACGTCAGCACACAAGAAAGAAGTGCCAGCAAGAGTTCCAGCTCCAACATTCCACAGCTCAGTGGTGTACAGAGCAGAAGCCAGAGAGGAAAAGTCGGCTTCCAGGAGAGACCACAAACAGCCCTGACTTCAAACACGCTCACATGGAACCGGTAGGCAGGTGGCAGCGGACTCTTAACAGGAATAAAGCTGGGATCATCATGAAGTCAATTTAGCATTGGTTCCATTTCAGTCCATTTTTTAAAACAAAAACTCTTTCAACATTCAGAAGATTTTAATTTAGAAATAAAAAAAGCCATGGGTTGTTAAATGGGGAAGTTGAAAGTTTTTAAAATAGTTTTATTCTTGTTGGTTAGTGTACAAAATACTCAGTGACTGTTTTCTTAGAGATCACTAACAGAGCAGAAAAAACGTACAACTGTCACTGTGTTTTAGGAAAAAGTGGCACTTGGCATCCCTGCCCTTGGTGTGAACCTGAAGCAAGCATGATGCATGACGTGCCCACCAAAAAGAATCCCAAGGCAATGGGACCCCAATTTTCCCCCTTTCCCTTGTAAGAGAGCAACAGAGACACGAGTAGTAACAGCAAGCAAGTAGCTCTCATTGGAATTGCATCTGAATTTTTATAACCCAGCTGAGAGTGAACAACATCAACAACAATGTTGACTTGGACTCCTGCAAACCGATGACATAAATAAAAGCCACACATTTCAAGAGGGAACATGCCTGCACAGGAAGTGGGAACAAGGGCCACCAAAGGCTTAAGGATGAAAAACCCACCACAAACTTGTCGCTCTCTGCGGGAGACTTACAAGAAATCTGACAACAGCACGCTGGCATTTTTCTGAAAAGCGTTGCTCCCCTTTCAGCCCCAAAGAAAACATCCATCCTGTCTCCAGCCTCAGCCTTCGGGGAAAGGGTGAGCTTCTCCAGAACCGACTTTCCCACTTCCCTCTCTCTCCTCCCAAGACAAACGTCTTCTCCCAGCTCCCAAGTTCCCACCAGGATGCGCGGCCTCCGTAAGAGCGCGGCTACTCCTTGGGCGCCAAGGTACCAACCGCCCCGCGGCAGCGCACAGCCTGGCCCCGCGCGCTTCTGAAACAGTCCTGCCTCGCAGCCTCCAACAGGCACCTCTGCCTCAGGGCAGGTGAACTGGAGGAAAGAAGGATGTCCTCGGGGCAATTCTGGGCAAAGGAAAGAACCACCCCACCCCCACCTCAACGCCAAGAGGTCGCTTTTCTTCTCCTCGCCCCCCACCCACCGACCCTTGGCCTGAATCTCCCCGGCAAGTCGGACTGCTCAAGTCTCCCGACTCCGGGCGTTCGATGTCCAAGTTGAAACTGAGGGCGCTGCGTCCCCTGGCGCAGACGATGTCCCCGTTCCCTCCTCGCGCGCGCGCGCGGGGCTGCAGCTGCCCAGATCCCGCGTCCCCAGCTGCCCGTCCGCGCCCTACCCGCGAACGACGAGGACGCCCAGGTTAGTGACACGACACGCAGCCAGCACAGAGCGGGGCGGCGGTCCCCGGAGCGACAGACGGGGTGGGTGGAGCATGAAGGTGGACAGAGAACAGGTGAGGAGGCACGGGGAGCCTGGCAGCCCAGCCCGGGCTGCGCGTACCTGGAGCCCCGGCTGAGCAGACGACCGGCAGCAGCGCGGCCAGGAGCAGCAGCGTCGCCCAGGGCAGAGGGCGCCGCGCGCGGGGGGGCGCCCCGGCCTCGGGCGCCATCGCGAGCTGGGGTGCTCGCAGGGCTGGGCTGGGCGGCTGGCGGGCGGGTGGGCGCTGCCGTCGGGTCCCCGCCGTCTGTAGTTTTCCGCGCTCTGCGCTGTGCCTGCGGCGCCCGGGCCCCGCGCGGATAGCTCCCGGCCCGCGCTCCCGCTGCCACGCTCCGCACTGAGGCTGCCCGCCACCCGCCGCGCCTTTTAGCCGCGCGTGGGCGCCCCCTGCCGGCCGCGGGGCGGTGGGGCTGCTGGGGCGGTGGGGGCGGCAGCCCGGGCTCGGGGTGCCTGAGCGCCCCGGAACCCCTCTGGGCGGTTCTGAAAATTCGATGATAGCTGTGCTGGATGAAGCGGCCAGGAAAGTTCCTACCTCTGTCTAACCTCTCGTTTTCTGGTTCGGAAATGGCCCATCGCGTCCAGTCTCTGCCAAGCCCACGAATGCCCTATGTCCCCTTAAATGAAAACCTCTGGTTTCAACGTGAGGGACGCAGGCAGGCCCCTTCACCTCTATCTGTACTTTGCGGTCGTTCCTGCGCTCGCCCCGGCCTTCCCCACACCCCGAGTACCCAGGAGACGGGGGTTGTCCTTAGTTAGACTCTGCCATTCCAGCTGTCACGTCTGTGGAGCACAGGAACTAGATTAAACGACGCGAAGCGTCCAGACCGAGAACTTGGCTGGCCTTGGTTCCCTCGGTTTCTACATTAACACTGCCTACGGTCTCCCTATTCCGGACTCCAACCTGTTTGTGGTCTGCTCCGGGCCTTGGCAGCCTCGAGCCCCTCCAAGTGGACTGGGAGCGCCCCTAGAGGCGACCAGGAAGCCTGCGCCAGGTGGGCCCGCGCTGTGGGCACTGCGTGCTGCTATCTGCCCAGCAGTTTCCTCGCAGACCTGATCTGGCTGAAGCTGACAACCTCACGTCGGGTCAGCTCTCCATGGTGACAACCCTAAACTTGAGCAGATTTGTGGCATTCGGTAGAGAGGAAAAGAATGTTAAATGAATTGTAGACTGATGAAACAGAAATAGAGCAACTCTCGGGTTTTGACGACTAGATCAGAACAATCGGCCAAGGACTGTTAAGATATTAAATGAAACTACTAACATTTATTAGTCTGGCTTCTGATCTGATTACAAACTTGAGAGTGTAATCAAATTTAAGAAGTCTTAAAACAAACTTCAAAGGTATCACTACTTTAAGGTTTAAAAGACCCCACCAAAACCTAATCTAAAAGTGCTAGTTATCTGTCCTGAATGTGATCATCTCACAAATACAAGTTCTACAAAGTTTTCTTCCTTCGCGTCAATTTCTAGTTCACTCTATTGTCACTATTGTTGTGACAGACTACTATATTTTCACATAATTTCTTAAGGCCTTGATTGTTGCTTCTATTTTGTTTACCAAAACCAAACAGAGTGGGTGTCACTCTTGGGCTACAAGATCGTCAGCTATTTAACTGTGAGCCTTTACTCTTCTGCCTCAGGGTTATGTCTGTGGTTTGTTTCTAGTTGTACAAATCAGTCTGTGTCCACACACACTATCTCTGGTTCTAGCTAGGTTTTAAATAGCCATACATTCAGAGAGTTCAATACCCTCCATACAGGTTGCCATGGCATTTCTATGTGGTAGGGTAGATTCAAATGCTATTTCCATGTTTCATGTGGATAAATGGAAACCAAGTTCAAATGACCAGCCAGTAGAACCTCCAGCGGAGTTCTGAAAATGCTTGTATCATACCATCTTCTGACATCAAATCTTGTTCTGGCTTCAGTTGGGCTTACACAGCTCTTTAATTCCTTTTTAAGCATTACATTTGAATACATCTATACACTGTGACAGCAGCAGGACATTATACAACCTCATACACAGTCGTGATGTGCACACATCTTTTAAAAGACCGCATAGTGGGGGCTGGCAGAGTGACTCAGTTAGTTAAGAGCTCACTCAAGAGTGCGAGCTCTGAGCCACAGGGTCACTGGTTCGTTTCCCAGCCCAAACTGAGCTGCAGCTGAGTTTCCAACAGGTGACAGGATGGCTCAGCTAAAAAAAGACTGCATAGCGAGGGAGCACCCACAGTGCTTGGAGTGACTGGGGGGACCATTAATTCAGGCACAACAGATCTGGAGGAAAACTCCAGTCTCTAGGATTCCATAAACAGAGGGGACAGGGGGAAAAAAATAGAGGTAAGCAAGTATACTTCACCTTGACATGACGGGAGAAAAGATAGAGGTTATTTCTAACCAGCAAAAAACAATAAACGAATGATGCTTTACAGACTTTTCTTCTGCAGTATCCATTTTGTTCTGGTCCCCACAACAGCCCTAGAGGCACTAATTCAGAGGTTCTCAGCCTTCCTAATGCCGCGACCCCTTAATACAGTTCCTCATGTTGTGGTGACCCCCAACCATAAAATTATTTTCGTTGCTACTCTATAACTGTAATTTTGCTACTGTGATGAATCGTAATGTAAATATCTTTTTGTTTTCCGGTGGTCTTAGGCGACCCCTGTGAAAGGGTCGTTTGACCCTCAAAGGGGTCACGACCCACAGGTTGAGAACCGTTGCACTAATCTGACTTTACAGAGAGACAACCAGGACTTCGAGAGATTGTGTGGCTTGTCCACCCAACAGTAGGGACTGGTGAGGGTGACAGTCCAATGCAAAGCATCTGACTCCAAGTACACGACATTTCCATGGCACCGTGGCACCTCCAAAAGTCCCCCTCTCTGTCAGATTTTCAATAAAAACATCAAGATCAAGGCAGAGAGAACAAATAAAAGTATGTTTTACATGCCCCGTGTCCAGTACAGATTTATCAGAGACACGTCCTTACCATCCAAATGGTGAGCGGTGCTTCTTAGCAAACAATTACACAAGACCTCAGTGTTACATCATTCATCTTCTTAGGGTTTGGAAGGCGCAGGAAAGAAATGGTGCTCCCTTAGAAAAAAAAAACTGCCATAAATCTGTCATTGCCTGAAATGTGCTTCCTCTGCACAGGAGTTCTAACTTGTTCCCACTGCAAGGCAGTGCCGAGGCAAGTTCTCTTTTGGACAAACATAGTAGGAATTAGTGAAGCCTAAAGGATTAAGATGTTCAGATACCCGACCTGGCATTTGAATTGTTAAGGACGCTAATTGAGAATGTTTCTTTTTTTTTTTTTTAAGATTTTTATTGGGGAATTGGGGGGATGGAAACAGTGCTGGGGAATTGGGGGAAGGGGAACAGATAAGTTGCTGTCCTTTTGTTCTTCAGTCTAGTTGTGGAGGACATTGCTTCACTGGCCCAAGTTGGCACCATCATTGCGCTCTTCCCGGGCGAGGCACATCAGTCGTCGGCTTCTGGACAGCCACTCACTGCGGCTGCTGGGTGCTCACGCTGGCTGCTGTCTACACACGGTAGCTTATGGCAACCCACTGCCACAGGGGCTGCAGCCTATGCCGTCGCTAGCGACTCATAGCAGCCCAGCTCCAGGTTGACCTGTTGTTCAGCATCATAGCTGTAGAGGGCAGTGTCACTGGCCCTCATATCTGGGATCCGAACCGGGGCCCTCTGGCGTCCCAAGCCAGTTCTTAACCATCGCGTCACTCGGCCGGCCTGAGAATGTTTCTTTTTGCCGTGATGTAAAAGCCCACAGATCTGCATCCGAGGTTTCTGTTTTGTGGCCCAGGTTGTAAAGCATGCAAATGCAATGGAAGGAGCTAGATATTCCAGTTGTATTATCCACCACTTGTCAATGGGCATAGGGCTTGGGCTACATCGAGAAAAGTCATTCATCAATCTATTCCTTTACATGACCTTACAGGACACCTATTTTTGTGTCGAGTCATGTGTTGGGAAGTGGGGATAGAGTGTGACTGAGACTCAGGCAGCCATTGCTTCAAAGAGCTCATGATCAAAGTAAGAGAGAAATAACTTCCCCACCCCTGAAAAAAAGAAATACACTCCAGAGTGCTCTGATATTTAGGTCATGAAGCTATGTTGCGTATCTCTTCCCTTATCTTATTTTCTTTTTCCCCAGGCACTTTTTAACCCTATGTGTGCTCTCCATAGGCAGACATCAGCATGCATTCACTCTAACCCTGTGGAATTAAAGAGTGCAGCTTGGGGAGAAGGCATTAGTAAAGTGGGGTGGAACAAAAACTCAAAATGTATGGTCTTCAAGTTGCAGTTGGCAGCTGTAGAAGCGGGCCTGGGCATTACACTAGGAAAATACATGGCAGGCTTCCAGCCTGTGATTGCCTGACCTGCCTCTTGGCAAGAGCAGAGGGCGGCCGACGGTTGGTGGGTACTCCGGAGGCCCAGGGCACAGAGCAGCTGTGCACAGAGTGTGTCCCACCAGCCACACACACCTCAGACTCCATGTGCACTGATAGCTTTGCCACCAGCAGCCAAGTGGGCTGTCCCCAGGCCCGCCACAGGAAGGCCCAGCGAAATCCTCATCCCAGCGGCCCCTTCTCTCCCGAAGAACAGCCACCTCTGGCTGGAAGCAACATGCCGCTCAGCACGGCCAGCCCTGGAGAAGGTAATGAAGGAGACAGTTTGTCAGGGGCGACCTCCAGCCCCTTTCCTCCAGGGTGGCGTCCTCCTCTCACACTGCCTCCCCAGGCACAGTGCCCTTGGGCAGTCCACCTCCCCCACCCATCAAACACTCTTCAAGGAAGGACCTGACCACCTCCTTCCAGATGAAACGTGAGTGACTGACGATGCTTCAGGTACTCTTGTCTGTAGGATGGGGTGCTTTCCAATTCATAAAGCACGATCTCATTCATCCTCACGAGCCATGCAGGAGGAGGATACGTGATCATGCCCGTTGTGCAGAGGTGGACACTGTGATGTGCCCTGCCCATGTTTAGCCAGTTAGGAAACGGCAGAGCCAGGAGGCACACCCTGGTACTCCCCTTGCAGACTCAGCGCCCTCTGCGTTACAGGCCGGTGGAAGGATAGATAGTTCGCCAGCACAGAATTAGCACAAAGGCTAATCCGCCGGGAGGCTCTCCGGGCTAGGGCCTCTTTTCTTTACACTTAGATTTTCCTGACTTGAGAAAAGGCACCATTTTCTATGTCAGCATCAACACCAACTCTCTCAAGGCCCATGTGAGAAGCAAAGTTAAGTCAGTTTTCCTTCCATCTTTTACAATCCTCACGAAAACT